ATCAAAGTAAACAGAAGTGGTCTCAGAGATATAGAGGAACAACTGATGGTTGCTATTTGAGAGGGGTTGGGGATGAGGGAGAAGGGGAAGGGATTAGACAGCATAAATTCATAACTACAGTATTGCCACAGGGACATGAAAGACAGTTTGAGGAATATAATTAATAATGTTGTAAATATCTTGTAGGGTGTCAGATGGTCACATGTCTTGCTAGGGAGACCACATCATGGAGGGGGGTAGAGGCTTGATCACTGCACTGTACACCTGAAGCTGAAGTTGTATAATATTGTATGCCAACTATAAGTGAATATCTGTATCTAGATCTATCTATCTATCTATCTATCTACATATATATATATATATATATATATATATGTTGTCATGGGACGCGGAGTATAGTGTGGGAGTGGAGTCAATGGAATTGTAATAGATATGTATGCTATTGGGGGTGAAGTGGGGCGGCAGATTGGGGGAGGGGAGTTGTCACCTCAAGGGGTAAAAAGTATAACTATCGCACTGTGTTGTACAGCTGACACTAATTCTAAAAATGTGCATTTCACAATAAAAAGTAATTTTTAAAAAATGGTTAAAATGGCACATTTTATGTTATGTATATTTTTACCACAATAAAAACATTCAGTCATAAACCTTATCTGGAAATTTGTCAGAATTTAAGCTCAGTAAGTATTATTCCTCCTGTACTTCTTACTATTATTAAAGGTGTAAATTCAAGTAGTGGATCTAACCAGATAAGGGCAGCATAGCAAGGTTAAGAGGTCAGGTGGAGAGGCCTAGGTTACAATACTGACTCTGCCACTAAATACTTGTTACGTACAACCAACACGGCCTTCAAATATATAAAAAAGGTCCTTTATAAATGTTGCAGTTAGCCACCATTGTTATTTGTCTTTATTATTATATAAAAACCACATGGAAAACAGCAATGCATTTTATTACAGAAAAAGTTAAAACTATGGTACTTCAAATAAATGAACATTGGAAGACAAATGTGGGGAAAAATATTTGCATCAGATATGATTAAAAGTCAACATCCCTAAAATGTAGAACTCACACCAAAAGATGAGCATCGAGGTAGAGAAGCAGCAGGAAGGCTACTTTGGATCTCAGGCTAAGCCACAAAGTCTACTCTGAAGAGGCCACATAGGAACCAAGACATAAAAGATGGAATGCACCTGCAGTGGAAAGGTCAGGGGTTACAGCACCCTGGGTGGAGACAATAGCAAAGGCCAGAACACAGCAGGAATAAGGAAGGTTTGAGGAACACGGGGAAAGAGGACCAGTGAGCCTGCAAAAGAGACAGGGAAGAATGGCGGGTAAGGTGGAAGAGGCAGACAGAAGCCAGATCTCACAGGCCTAGTAAGAAGATGGGACTGTGATTCTAACCTCAGCTGGAAGCTAGTTAAGCAAGGGAGTGACATCATCCAGTTTACCGTGCAAAAGATAATTCTGTTGCTATGTAGAAAAAGGATGGAGCAGGAAAGCAGAATGGAAGGGGAGCAGTTGGGAAATTATGTTAATATTTTAAGTAAGAGATGGTATAGCTTAGATTCAGGATAGTGGCACTGACAATAGGAATAAATATGTGACAAATTCACATTGCATTGGTTAATAGGAGAGAGAATATTTAACTGTTCCATGAACCAAAATATGCAAATTAAAATTATACAATTTCCCCTATCAAATTAACAAAAGCTAAAAATGGGTAAGAGAAATCCTGCTCAATATATAGTTGAGGGAAGCACTCATAATCCTCCGAAAAGCAATTTGCTATAGGATCAAAAGCCTTAAAAATTTTCTTATAAGTTTTGACTTTGCACATAGTCTTTTATTGCTAAATGAATTAATTTGACTTCTAGAAAACATGCATAAAGAGAAAATCAGGATTTATGTTCGAGGATGTAATTGCAGCACATTTATACTTGCAAAAAATCATGGAATAATCTAATGTTCAATGTTTAAGGACTGGCTGAAATATAGTTTATGGTAAAGCATTAAGCAACATTAAAACCCCCATTCGCTAAGGGGTTTCAAGATATGGGGGAAATTCTGTCATACAATCTTACGAAATTAACTAAGTGAATAGTTTTATTTTCACGCCGGTAAGTTCTGATGTGAGAACTGAACATAGTGAGCTACCAAATAATTGGTAATACTAGAAATTTAACAATAACTAACCTAGTCTAGAATCAAAACTCAATACATATGCTCAGAAAACTTATATGCTCAACTCATTACATATTTTCTGTATCTTACAGTATCAGTCTCTACTTTTGATACTAAGAAAGGAAGCAGGGAAGTTTGCGGTTTGTGGTTGTCCTAGTAACTGAAGTACAAACATGCACATTGAAAGTCTATCTGTCACTCCAGACCTCCAGTGCCTAGCACAGTACCTGGCACAGAACAGGAGCTCAATAAATACTTTTGAGTGAATATCACCAAAAATAAACCTTTCAGTTCCAACTTAGCACCAAAGAAATGTAAAACCTCGAAATAGAAGCAGTACATAATAGCAATAGTGATAGTAATAATTTATATTTTGAGTGGCTACAATGTACCAGGCATGATTCAACCTTTTGCACGCTTTATCTTTAATCATAGTATCTTTCATCCTTCTTTGAAACAATTACTTTTCACATTAAAACCGGGAAACAGTTTCAAAAATGGTCAAGAACTAGTCCAAGGTCACACTGCAACTAAGTTTGAACTCAGCTCTTCTGGTGCCTAAATGAATCTAGACATGATATATCTCAGTCGAGATGGGATGTTTCTTTTCAATGGTCAGAATTCACCAAATTTTTCCTCTATGCTTCCCCTACAGTTCTTAGTGTTCACTTTATCTCCTTGAAGAGCCACCTGACTGTCATCAGCCCAGGCTTGCCCGCGACCTCCCCTCCCCCACTGTGACTTCGCACAGGTTCTTAACCTGTGGGTCGCGACCCCTTTGGGGGGGGGGGGTCGAACAACCCTTTCACAGGGGTCGCCTAAGACCATCGGAAAACAAAAAGATATTTACATTTCGATTCATAAGACTAGCAAAATTACAGTTCTAGAGTAGCAACGACAATAATTTTATGGTTGGGGGTCACCACAACATGAGGAACTGTATTAAGGGGTCGCGGCATTAGGAAGGTTGAGAACCGCTGCTCCAGAGGAAAGGACCAGGTCCCCACACCCCTAGGTGGCCACCACACTGGGCGCAGGGGATTGGCACTAGGCAGGGGGCTTATCCCTCCCGCTTTGTGGGTACCATTTCATAGCCTAGCCTTGCAGATCTGGCCTCACAAACTGAGTCCTCTAAAGGGCTGCATCCGCCCTAGGGACACCGCTAGGGGCGGGAAGAAGGGAGTCTCCGCCCAATCGGCAGGAGGAAGTAGCCCGCTCTGCGGTTTCCAGGACAACGGAGTTCCCCTCTTTCCGAGTCTCCGCCCCTAGCGTCTAGCCCCTCCGCCCCTCCCTGGCTCCCGAGCTCTGACCAGCGCCCACGTGGGAATGAAGAGAGACGCGCTCTGTGCACGCTCACCTCTTAGCGCCTGGTGCATGCCCCCAATGCCGCTGTACAGCTCCAGGACCCGCAGGGGCTCCATCGCCGCGCCGTCGCCGCAGCCGCCTCGGAAGTAGGCCTGCGAGTCCCGCAGCTTCCCCTCCCTCCACCTGCGCTGCTCCCTGCTCTCGGGTTCCGCGGTTTTTCAGTTCCGCCCTGTCCTGCCGCTCAGGCTCAGGGCTTGACTGGGTAGCGCGGGGCCGGGGGCGGGCCGAGGTGAGCACGGGCACACAGGGCAGAAAACAGTGAGGGCTCCCAAGTGAATAGCAGCCATTCCATGGCCTCATTTACGCTCCATCATCCATCTAAGGTGTCTTCTGGGGTTTGGGAGGAAAAACTAATAATATCTGGAGCTCAATGAAGGGGTGAAATCTGTCTTTGCCTCAAAATAACACAGGTTAGAATCCAGAAAAACACACTTCCTAGGCATGCTGCTTTTCCGTCCCTTGGAAGCCTGAATTTTTTCCAACCTTTCTTCCAGTAGCCTCGAGCTCATACCATGTGCTTGGGGTTATGGAGATAAATGAGACCAGCCTCTTCTCCAGAGAAGGTCCCCGAGTTACAAGTTTGGAAACAGCACACGTGCCGTAGAGCCCAGGTGCTTGCAGTAATTGTTAGTGGAGTTAATTATATTTTAACTTGGAAAATATCCCCAACGTAGGCTCTGCTAATATAATGTAAAACTATGGGACTTCAAGTGTTAGGGCCTTATTTCTCCAAGATGGTCTAGTGACCAAATTGTTAGAAGTTGGATTCCAAAAAAAAAAAGGCCATATGCCAGAGAGGAAACATTCTCACTGTAAAGTGTCCTTCTATTGTTCCCATTATCACCACACCTTAACTTTTGTTAGAAAAACTTGGGGAATACCACTTACAATAAGTTAACTGATTTGTCAGAAACTTTGCATGTGTGCTAATATAACAACTAAAAGTATAACTACTGTGATCTGACTTAAAGAACTGACATCCATTTTGATGTGTTGTATGAAATATTTACATTGTAAATGTGTGTATTGGCCTTTAAATGTTTTGTTTCTATCGGTCACTTATTTCAAATAAAAGAAGGGTTATGTGGTAGAAAGATAGCAGAGAGCTGAGTCTTAGCTCTGGCATTGCCAATAAGCTGTTGTGTGGCTTTGCTCTGAGCCTGGTTTCCTCATCTGCAAAATAAAGGGGAAGGAAGAAAGGGAAATGATTGCTTGGCCCTGCAGTTTCAAGATTCTGTGGCTGACTCAGTATTTGAAAAAAGTGAGTCCTGATTTGGCCACATGTTAATTATCTGCTCAAATTGAAATTATCTAGAAAAGAGACAGTTTAAAAATCTTCTTTAAGCAAGTGACTCTTAAACCATCTCAACGTATAGAATCATATACACACTAACATCACATAATAAATGAAACAAATTTTTCTGATATTTATACATAATATTAGTACCACAAATATATAGCAGTACATATAAAGGAAGCTAGCTATATAGTCACAGTGATCGACATACAGTCAACAACCAATATATTAAGTAAATCTAGAATCTGTTTAGCCATTAGTGCTATAAATCAAAATAAGTATGACCCAGGGTCTTACCCTGTAAAGGAGAGACAGGACAGAAATATGTGGAAGAGTTCATGAAAAACACCAACGTCCTGAGAGGTCCAGGGGGAGAAGTCGATCCCCAAACAGGCTGATTACAAACTGTTCACTCTGATACAAAAGGGTCTTCACAGTGGAACCCCAGACATACCTTTCTTTGTTAACTTTGTATTCTCCCCATCTTGAACTCTGCTGCAAACTGGACTGCTCAGCATTAACCAAGCACTGTTTCCCTGCATATTATTTTTTTTTTACCCTGTCCAGAAACCCTAGACATTTCCAGACTTCAAGTGGAACCTTCCTTCCAGACTCCCAAGCTAGAAACCGCAGCTTGTTTCAATTCCTCAATCGACCCCGTCCTGCCTTCTGAAATACCAGATCCCACCTGTTTCTATCACTAACTCCTTTCAGTTCATTCTAGCCCAATTTTTACTTCCTGTGTGCTATATCTCTTTACATAGTATTTATTCTCTAAAGCTTATCACATGTGATCCTCATTTCAAAAATGAAAACCTTTTCCATAATCATAAATTACAACTGTCTCCATGGAAGCACCTGTAGATGTTAGGCCCCTTCAGATTACATATGCATTGTCTTCTAATCATTAGCACAGGCTGTGTGAATTGGCGGAGCGGGGGAGGGAGGGTGCCACAATCAGGAGTAGCTGAGGAGGAATGTAGAATGGGCAGATACAGGGGGGAAAAAAAGATACATATTTATTACTCTCTCCCAAAGCAAATCCCAAATGTTCTTACAGGATTTTTTTAAGTTATTTTATCCTAAAAAAAGCTTTCTAATCCTGGAGCTTCCCATAAAGTTATCCTCAATGATATATTCAATAGAGCTTATATTCTCATCAGAGAAACTCAACACATTTTGACATACCAATATCAAAATTTTGACTTCAGGATATTCAGTGCATTTTCCCTCAAAACAGCAAAAATACACCTTGTTAAAAAAAATGCTAGTTAACATCTGTTACATGTGAAACATATCAGAAATAATGAAGGGGCACATATAACTCTAAGGGGTATATTAACATAATAATAGCATACTCTCAATTATTGAAGGGATCATTGTATAATTTGAAATCTAATGATATTTTATTCTTCCTCTCCTGCCTGTCATTACTATCTAACAAAATTAAACAAAGTCTGCCAAATGCTTCAATTACTCTTTTGCTGTGATCTTTGCGTTTCCATGACCCAGGCCATTCTTTATTCGCCAGTGAAACGTGATATGGAGTCCTATATAGGCTGATTGTGCCAATTGGAGTGATGAGTAAATTACATTCTACTTTTCCAAAGAAAAAGAATGTTCTTCAGGAATTGTGTGGAAAATAAAAAAGCAGTCATACGAGAATAAATTGGTGACAAATGTCATCGGGAGGAAATTATATCCAGAAGATATTTGAATTGGAAAGGCCCAGAGAGCTCACCTACCACTTGTGAGCACCCACTTATCCAAGAATGCCACTTGTGGTGTTTCGGATCAGCCAGTTTTAGGCTTAGGCCTATGAGCTGCCAGCAAGACGAGAGTACTTCAGTGGGATGTCTAGTGGCGAAGAGCTTGAATTATTAGAAAACCCTTCTTTAGAGTCACCTAAAATCCAGTTCCTTTGAGATTTTCCCCTCTGTACTGATTTTGAAGAAGTCTCCCTCTTCTGTAATGAGTTATTGAGTTATCGGAAAAGTCCTGATGCATGTTTGTGACAGATGGCACTAGTTCATTTTTGGAAGTACTAGAGTCATTCACACATATGTTATTGCTACATCATTTGACAGCTGACAGTTCTAGCTTCATTCTTAAAATAATTGAGCAATTTGGTTGAGTATTGGGAGATTTTGCAATAAGTTGAAGATGGAAGACCAAACTGTGCATTTTTGCCATATTTTACTGTTTTACTTCCGCAAAGGGAAGAATGTGCATCAAGCTTGTGAAAAGTTGCATAAAGTTTACGGTGACAATGCTCTACAAGAATGTCAGTGCCAACGATGGTTCACGAAATTCCATGCTGGTGATTTTGATCTCAATGATGCTGCTCGGTCAGGGAGGCCCACCAATGTTGATGACGACAAAATAAAGGCATTGATCAAGTCAAACCCACGTTACACAACATGAGAGATTGCAGAAACATTGAACATTCATCATTTAAGCATTCATGACCACCTGAAGAAGCTAGGATACGTAAGCAAGCTCCATATTTGGGTTCCGCATGAACTCAAAGAAGTTCATTTGATGGTGCGTATAAACATCTAAAATGTGCTCATGAAACGTGAGGAAAATGATCCTTTTTTGAAGCGACTGATAACTGGTGATGAGAAGTGGATTGTTTACAACAATGTGGTGTGCAAACGGTCTTGGTCCCGACGTGGTGATTCACCTCAAGACATTGAAAGTAGACATTCATCAAAGGAAGGTTATGCTCTCAGTGTGGTGGGATTTTAAAGGTGTCATGTTTTTCGAGCTTCTACCAAGGAACCAAACAATCAATTCGAATGTGTACTTTCGGCAATTGGACAGTTTGAATGAATCCGTTATCCAGAAATGTCCAGAGCTTGTTAATTGTAGAGGAGTTGTGTTCCATCGCAACAACACGAGACCACACACAAGTTTGATCACCTGTCAAAAATTATTGGAGCTTGGATGGGATGTGTTGCCACACCCACCATACTTGCCTGACCTTGCACTGTCAGACTTCCACTTGTTTCACTCTCTTCAAAACTCCTTGCGTGGTATAATGTTCAATTCAGATGAGGCTGTAAATCAGTATCTTGTTCAGTTTTTCACAAATAAAGACAGGTCCTTCTATGAACGAGGGATTATGAAGTTCACTGAAAGATGGCAAAAAGTTATCGAACACAACGGGCAATATATCATTGATTGATCTTTGTTCTTTATATAAATAAATGACCTTTGAAAAACACAGACAAAATACGTCATGACTTTTTCGACAACCCAATACATTGCTGTTAGGACTGCGAGCTTGTGAGCCAGAATGTAAACAGGAATTATAGATCTACCACTTCCTAGCTACGTGGATTTGAGAAAGTCACTTCACCTCTCTGAGGGGGAGCGAACGTCTACAATGTACAAAAATAGGACATGTGGTTACTAAGGATTAAATGAGAATTAAAAGCATGTACCCCAGTACCTAGCGCAATATGTCTGTCTGTTTTATAAATAGTAACTATATAATAAGAGATGCATTCTCAGTCCCTTCAGTTATGACATGTGGACTCCATGGAATCAGTCCCACTCCAGTTTGGTGATGTCCATTTTAGGAGCCATAACTGAACACTGGGCCCTAAACAAAGTCAGATCAGCATGCTATAGAGTGGTCCAGGTGGCCACAGGCATCTATGGCTCTGAACTTGTGGGTGGTGCCCAGGAAGAGCCTGGGCTTGGAGCAGAGTAAAGGAAAGGCTGGAAGTTTGCAAAGCCATAGACATGACTGATGAGGAACTGGGCATTAAGAACAGTAAGTCAGCAGACAGCAGCACACATAGTAAGACAGGCACCCCGAGCTCTTAGCTTCCAGATAGACCATGACAGCTGTGAAAGGTGGATCTTAAGTGAAAATTGTTAAAGTGACCTTATGCAGGATGTGTGAACTGGGGAGACCTGGGGTGAAGGTGAGGGGGAACCTATTCATACCATCCAATCACTTATTGATTCTTTTTATGTGCCAGGCACTGAAGAAAATTGTCATGAAAACAACTTTAAAAATGTAAAAATATGTATTCTCTTTCTGATCATAAAGGTGCCAATATTAAAAGACAATATAATACATACCTTTTACTTCCTAAGCATAGGGCTATTGCCCAATTTCATTGATTCGCCAGCAGAGCTACACTGTCCAGCAGGGTAACCACTAGCCACATCTGGTGATTTGAGTTTAATTAACTCAATTAATATTCAAAATGTAGCTCATCAGTCACACTAGGAACGTTTCAAGTGTTCAGTGGCAACAGGTGGCTGGTGGCTACAGTGTTGCTCAGCAAAGATAGCATTTCCATCATTGCAGAAAGCTCTGCTGGACAGAGTGCCTAAAGAGTGACAATCTCTTAAAAGTTCCATCCTTTCTGGATAGCCCATCAATAAATGGATAGTGTGGAAATATGCAGCAATTGCTAACTTATTGTATATTGAACCCTGATTTAAAATAAGGGCCCCAAAAATATGGAGTAAACGGAACTCATATAAAAGCAAACCTTGTAGCCAAGCACTCCTCTTCCTCCTCTCGTGTCCAGTTCACCTTCTTCATAGACCGTCACAAAGGGAAAGAAGCAGGAAACAGCAGATGTGTTCTCTCAGTGACATGATAAACTTCCAAGAGAAAAAGAACAGATGGAAAAAGATGAACCCCGTGGTGTCTTAAAGGAGTGGTACTTTTCTGTTGTGAAGTGTATTCGAGTGACTTTTGGTTGTGAATACTACCTTAGACTTACCTCAGAAGAAAATGAGTAAATGCAGTTGAAAATTGGAATCAAGAAGAATTATAGATTTTCTGCCGAAATGCACAGAAACCATGCATTTTGTCTTATGGCTTACCATGTCAAAGTACTCAAATGTTTTGACATTGATTTTTCTCTTCGAGGTTAATTCTGAAAATCTAATTTAAAATGGTTTGCAGCACATTTTAAAGATTATATTTTAGTTAAATTCAAGATAGTGAGATTCTATATTTTTAAAACTGTTTTCATATGCTCATGGAAAGTTAGAGCTGGAAGGAATCTATTTTCTTTAGTCTTAGATGGAAGGACTATTTTCCAGTGTTTTTACAACTATTTTTAGATATAGAGCCTTTTGTTCAAACAAAATCTCTTCATGAATCAGGGCACAGAGGGAGAGGTAGAGTGAACGTGCGCGCACTCACACACACACACACACACACACACACACAGCTGTTGGTGTTGTTGAAGCATGGATGGTAGGTGGCCCAAAACCTACCAGATGATTGCCAGATCATCTCCCCTACCCCCGTCAACCCCTGTAGCTGCCCTTAAGTGACTCTGTGGGACATGGATTGTAACCCAGATTTCATTCAACCTTCATTTTAGAGATAAAGACACAGAGATCCACAAGTTTTAGGTAACTTGCCCCAGCCCACAATTAGGTAGACAACAGGGAATTCCAAGTCAGGTTTCTTCCTGAGGTCTTTCCAGAATGGGCTATACCATAGCTTAATAAAAAAGACACGTAGTAGGCTCTTCTGTCCCATGCCTGCTGAGCTCCTGTGCCCAGAGGCTCAGTCAAGAGTCCAGACTACAGTAGCCCTACCAGGTGGAATGCATTGCTTCCTGAGAACCAACAGGTTGTCCTGGGGAATGACAGCAACTTGTGAGATCATTGAAGGAATTCTGAAGTGATATGGTAGTGCATGTTATAAAGGTCAGACAAGGTTAATTCTGCTTCACAAAAGAGGGACAATCTCAAAGACTAATTACTAATATTTATAATAGGTTCTCTGAGCAGTCACTCCTGCAAAGGCAAAGACAACTTGATACAGTGCAAGAAACATGGTCCTTAGAATAGATGGATGAACATGAATCCTGCCTCTAATACCCAATTTCTTCATCTGTGAAATAGGGGTAATATTTGTTAACAAGGTAGTTGTCTGTACTCAATTAATAATTATACACACACACACACACACACACACACACACACACACACTGGGGGTGCCAAAAAAATTTATACACATGACTTGTATTCATCTTTTGTTATCGGTATATATTGAGTATTACAATTTTAATACAGTTATTTCCTTTTTTTAAAAAAGATTTTAATTGAGGAATTGGGGGATGGGAACAGCACTGGGGAATTGGG